CATGGATAAAATGATACAGGGAAACCATTTACAATGGGAAGAAAGGTAGCCAATTATAGGAAAGATTGCTGAAGATCTGACTAGTCTGCTACTTGAGCTGAATGATATCTACAGGCATGGGGCACTGTGGGTTAATTTCCCTGGTACCACTGTGTTGAATGTAAAACAATGCCTTGAAAAGTTGCTTTGACATTTTATGCTTTACAAATTTTTAAACAGCAGAAAACAATTTCGTTGATTTTCCCAGCTGCACAGTTAGTCATGGTATATTTTAAGAGTCAAACATATAGATTTATTTCACTTCTTGAGAACATCTTAAACTTCTGGTTCGCCTTTATGAAGTGTTTTCACCAACACTACATATAAAAGTATTGCCTAAGACCAGTGACATGTAGGTAGTTAATTATGCTGGAATATAAATAAAACTGTTCCATTCTTGATGTTGCAATCCTTTGAAAGAAAAATCACCTTTTCCTCATAAAGGAATACCTGCTTGACAAGTTAAATGGCTCTTGTTGATGTCACATGTTTATCTCTAGCATCAAAGATTGATTGTCAGAGTTGCCAAGAAATTTCTGGTTACAACACCCACCTGTGGATGAGGGCTCCAAAAAGAATGGGAAAGAGGCAAGTGGGTAGTGAAGAGCCAGGGGGTATGTGTGATATGACTTGTTTTGCAGAGTCAGATCTTTTCAACTCTGCAAAGTTCAACAGTGTCAAAGTTATAATTTTATCCAAGGTCACTGAGGACCAGTTTTTATCTTTTCATTCAACTAAGAGTCTTCTAATCCTGAATAATATCACACTACCCAAGCAAACAGACTGACAGACATGTAAATGAACAGACAAATGTCAAACAAAGTCTTACTAAATGCAACCACCAATATAGTAGTTGAAACATTTTAAATTCTTTTTTTATGTTAAAGAAATGCAGCCTTTATCAGATATATATTGAGGTTACATAAGATTGGATTCAGGGGAAAATAGTTTCATTGTTAATAAATGCTTAAGAACCACTGATAATAGAAACACGAGAACTCTGGACTTGAAAAATGAAGACTTTGTTTCACATCCATAATCCGCCAGTGACTAGCTCAGTGACCTTGAGTCAATTGCTTAAACATTTTGGGCTTCAGTTTAAATCTACAACACAAGAGAGAACTAGCGTCTTTAAAAAAACCCAACAACCTAGAAAACACATAAAAATAACCTATATGAGTGATACGGTTTGAATTTGTGTCACTGCCCAAATCTCACATCGAATTATAATCCGCAGCGTTTGGAAGAGGGTCCTGGTGGGAGGTCGTTGCATCATGGGGGTGGAGTTCTCCCCTGCTGCTGTCATGACAGTGAGGTCTTATGAGGCTTGGTTGTTTAAAAGTGTATTGCACCTCCTCCTTCGCTCTCTTCCTCCTTCGGCCATGTAAGACATACCTGCTTCCCCTTCCCTTTCCACCATAATTGTAAGTTTCTCTCAGACCTCCCCAGCCTGTAGAACCATGAGTCAATTAATCCTTTTTTCTTTATAAATTACCCAGTCTCGGTTATGTCTTTATAGCCGTGTGAGAATGGATTAATACAATGAAGATTAAGAATCTCAGGAGATACTTGAATATTTGAAAAGAAGCTGGCTGGTGCAAAAAATGTCTAGTAGGTGACAAATGTGGAAAAATTATCTTTTTCTCAGACTCGTCTCAACTTCCTCATCTCATCTCAGCTCAGCTACATAACACTCCCTTGCTCTTTCTTTACTTTAGCTAGTGACTCTACTTACCATGTTGCTCAGAAGAATATGAAGGTCAAATGGGCCAGTATACAGAATTCATAAATACCCAAAGGTATTATTGTAAGGCGTACTCTATGCCTACTCATGGAGACCTTGAGGTTGACTTTCACTAGATGTTGAACACACATGATGAGATTCTCACACCCTGAACTTGCCTGATCTCATCAGACATCTTTAATTCTACAACTCTTTTCTTTACTACAGAATATAGTAAAGGCTGAAGGTGGTATATGGATGAGATGGTGAAGAATGCCTAAGAATGATTTAAAACATAGCATTTGTAATTCTGAAATTCACCACTAAACCCACTATCCTTGTGAAAATTTTGCTACCTTACTTGGAGCATGGCCTTAGCAAAACAGCTGTGATAATATTAGAGATGTAATGTAAGTCTCAATGTAGAGACTTATTCATTGACTCAAGATATACTTATCTGTATATATTTAAGGTGTTGTTACTGAATGAAAATTAAGAAAATGATATATAGTTTCTTTTCTTCAAGCTTATACGCTTAGTGAGATAAACACACACACACGCACACACAAAACTACTCCAGATCATGTAAGACAATGGAGAAACATACAATTTAGGAAATCTACCTCGAGGAGGGTAGGATCAAACATGATTCCACAAAAGGGGTGCCACTTGAAAATTTTCCCACCTCAGCCTCTTGAACAGCTTAATCCCTAGGAATGCATCATCACGCTCAGCTAAGTTTTGTATTTTTATTTTTTCTGTAGAGACAGGGTTCCACCATATTGCCCAAGCTGGCCTCAAACTCCTAGGCTCAAGCAATACTCCCACTTTGGCCTCCCAAAGTTCTGGGATTACACATGTGAGCCACCATGCCTGGAATAAATTTATTTTTATCTAAAAATCAGAGGCCTTAATCTGATGTTGCATTTCATAACCAGGACTTTAATTCAAATAAGCTAGATAAGTCAGCAGTAAAGAAAACACAGAAGTTGGGTTATGAAACTGTGGGGCCACAGAAAAATTTGAATTCAGATCCTGGATGTTAGTTAGGCTTGAAAATATGATGTATTTCTTTCCTCCTTATAATAAAAGGAGATAAAATTGAGCTAACCTGGCATTCTAAGTTCCTCTGAACTGATGGAACTCTTCCTCTTTCGATAATTAATTCCTACAATGATAAAACCAATTAAAGTAGCACTTCTTCGAAGAAAAAGAGAGGAACTAGGAATTTGTATCTTTATTTTCTTTGTATCTTTTTTCCTTTTCATTAAGAAACAGTAAAATAAAGGAAAATATCCTTAGCTAAGTAGGTCTGATCTAGTGTGCTGTGATTCTGAGTGATCTTCAAACTACCTTGAGTAGCGTTTCTGGCCTGGACACCTAGCTCACTGTGATTACTGTGGTGATATTTAAAATATTGTTTATATGTGACTCTCATTACATACTCCACAGAATTTTACACATCAGTCGTTCTACCACTTTCAAATATCATAGTGATACAGTGATGACACATTTAATGGAAATAAGTTATATTGCTATAACCTGAATCATATTTACAAAAGTCCTTTTTCACATCCTTTTCACTCTAAGGTAGCCCAGATTTCCTTCTGACTCTGACGTTGTGCCTCCAACAGTAAATATCAAGCCTCTTAAGTTGAATTGCTATTACGGCACTCATGGAACGAGATATGACATAATTCAGTAATTTGGCTCAATTGCTACTCTATAATCAATCTATTCATTGTCGACCATGAATTTTTAAGGATAGCTCCCGGGTAGATTAGCAGATTGCTAACTGTGCGTGACACGTGAGAGTTCATCATTTCCTTCTTTTCTCTGGAGCCTTGTCAATGTCCGTAACCAAAGTGTTGCTGGAAAAGGCAGTGAACTGGGCAGTGATACAAAATACAGAATAATTTTTGTGAAATAATTACGGGATACTTACTATGTGCCAAGCATAGAAAAAGGTACTGGGAATTCAGCAATTAAAAAACAAAACATATATGACTCCCACTCTCAGAGGTCTGACAACTAAATGGGAGAGACATTTTAAAAACTGTTTTTGTGCAACGTGACAAGTGCCCCAGAGGAGCAGTGTTAGGCGCGAGAGGAGCCTGTGAGAGTGGCGCCCACCCTGGACCTGCAGAAGAAGAGCCTGCCTTCTGCATGTAACTAGAGGCCATTGTTTTAAGTGAAATAACTCAGAAACAGGAAGTCAAACACCGTATGTTCTCATTGATAAGTGGGAGCGAAATAGCATGTACTGATAGAAAAACAGAGTGAAATAATAGACGTTGGAGACTTGGACAGGGTGGAGGTTTAGAAGGGAACGAAGGATGAAAAGTCACTTAATGGGCACACTGTACACAATTTGGATGATGGTTACACTAAAAGCCCAGGTTTTACCCCCGTGCGGTGTATCCATGTATAAACAGTGTGCTTGTACCCTCTACATCTGTTAAAAAGGAAGAAGAAAAAAAGTGTGATATCTCATGTGAAAAATAGGTATACATATAATGGAAAGATATATCTATTGTTAAAAAAAGTAGTTTGTCCTTGCTGGGGTTTGAATGTGTTCCCCAAGAAGCATGTGTTGGAAACTTAAACTCCTGATGCTACAGGGAGATGGGGCTTAATGAAAGGTGTTTAGATCATGAGCTTCAACTTCATCAATGGATTCATGGCACTTATAAAAGCGCTTGNCCCAGGTAGATTAGCAGATTGCTAACTGTGCGTGACACGTGAGAGTTCATCGTTTCCTTCTTTTCTCTGGAGCCTTGTCAATGTCTGTAACCAAAGTGTTGCTGGAAAAGGCAGTGAACTGGGCAGTGATACAAAATACAGAATAATTTTTGTGAAATAATTACGGGATACTTACTATGTGCCAAGCATAGAAAAAGGTACTGGGAATTCAGCAATTAAAAAACAAAACATATATGACTCCCACTCTCAGAGGTCTGACAACTAAATGGGAGAGACATTTTAAAAACTGTTTTTGTGCAACGTGACAAGTGCCCCAGAGGAGCAGTGTTTGGCGCGAGAGGAGCCTGTGAGAGTGGCGCCCACCCTGGACCTGCAGAAGAAGAGCCTGCCTTCTGCATGTAACTAGAGGCCATTGTTTTAAGTGAAATAACTCAGAAACAGAAAGTCAAACACCGTATGTTCTCATTGCTAAGTGGGAGCGAAATAGCATGTACTGATAGAAAAACAGAGTGAAATAATAGACGTTGGAGACTTGCACAGGGTGGAGGTTTAGAAGGGAACGAAGGATGAAAAGTCACTTAATGGGCACACTGTACACTGTTTGGATGATGGTTACAGTAAAAGCCCAGGTTTTACCCCCGTGCGGTGTATCCATGTATAAACAGTGTGCTTGTACCCTCTACATCTGTTAAAAAGGAAGAAGAAAAAAAGTGTGATATCTCATGTGAAAAATAGGTATACATATAATGGAAAGATATATCTATTGTTAAAAAAAGTAGTTTGTCCTTGCTGGGGTTTGAATGTGTTCCCCAAGAAGCATGTGTTGGAAACTTAAACTCCTGATGCTACAGGGAGATGGGGCTTAATGAAAGGTGTTTAGATCATGAGCTTCAACTTCATCAATGGATTCATGGCACTTATAAAAGCGCTTGGTGCTGCTCATTTGATCTCTTGCTCTCTGTCATTCACTCTTTGCTCTTTTTCATGACATGACACGGCAAGAAGACCCTTGCTAGATGCCAGCCCTTGGATCTTTTACTTCCCAACCCCCAGAACCACAAGTCAGTAAAGTTCTGTTCGTTAGAAATGTACTCAGTCTCAGGCTTTCTGTTACAGCAGCACAAAATACACGAAGACAGTCCTGATGAAGGTAGAATGTATGCCACGGCTTGTAAGTAACACAGAATCTGTTTGTCAGTTACAAGGATTTAGAGTAGCCAAAGTGGCTAGAATACCAAAAGACAGGGCAGGAGGCCATGAGACTTGAGGCAACAAGAAAATTGAGGTGCCGAGTTGAATCTAGCTCAGTTGGTTGGGAGAGTTCAAATTGCTTCTGGTATTTTATCTTCAGTGCTTGTACTGTAGAATATACATTTTGCCTTAGAGAAGAAATGCTCAATTTCTCTTGGAATACACTCATTTAGCAAATATTTATTGTACTATTTTTTATCTGAGGACAGAAACGTTCTGGCTGTTCTCAAGTGTCTTATTTCAGGAAAGAGCACAGCGCCTGAAACACAGTAAGCATACAATACCTATTTGCTATTTATTTGTTGATTTGTTTTACTCATTAAAATGCGGGCAAAAATTGTGTCTTCCCAACACCTTAAAAAAGTGTCTGGTAGCGAATGTATGTTCAACTAATTTTTATTATATGAATAAATGTTGAGGCTCATCTTATTCTTTCCCTGCCTCAGCCTTAGAATCAGCCATTTCTCCAAAAGTTCTGGTTTCTTTAAGAGGAAGACAGTATTTGAAAGTCAAGGTCTGAGGTCTCTGTGTGCTCATTATTACTGGAGTATCTTATTTCTAGTTCCTTTCAGTGGAGGGAGAGCTAGCAAAGGTAAATTATAGATAGACACATAGAATAGATAGATACATCTGTAACTATGAGTTCATATTGGTACCTCCAATTCTAGTCTAATACTTCAGAGTTATTCTGGCCTTCTACCTTTCCATGTTTTAAAGTATGGTTTCCACCTGAGATAAACCTGTCTCTCATCATTTACAATGCCTTTATTTATTTGCTCAATTAAAGTAATTATTTGCTCAATGTAATGAATCTCCAGACCACCCCTGGATGTCTCCTCCACCTGCCAGTTCCTCACCCGCCTTGAATGCACTTCTGCCTGACTCTCCTTATCTGCTGCAGAATCCTGCATGCCTCCAAGAAGCCTTCATATATGGCTCCCCCTCCCCAGGTAGATCCTGACACCTCCATACCAGGAAGGAAGAAGGAAAAAAATAATTGGAAGAGAAGATAGAAAGGGAAAGTTAGAAAGAAATGGACAGTGGGAAGGTAATATGTTTTATTATTTATTTTAGTCAGGAGTTTGATGAATTACTTTTGCAAAGTCAATTTTGTTTCTTTGCTCTCTTTTTTTTCTCTGTAAAAGATATCCATGGCTAGGCTTATTTGGGTTATTCTAAGCTTATTTAAGTTAGAGTGCTGGTTCTGCATAAAGAAACATCAAATGTTGAACCCTTGCAGGACGAAGGTAAAGAAGCGTGGCTGTGTTATAGAAGCCAATGAAGGTGCAGGAGCAGAAAACAACTGAGGCTCGACCCGTGAGGGCCTGTGAGACTGGGTACTGCCTCCCTCTGCATCCTCAGCTGCCTGGAGGAGAGTGACGCAATTAACGCTTCATTCAGGTAACTTTGTTTCAGTTCTGCCTCTCACCTCTCAGCCTCCAGGGTAGAAGAGTGGAGGACCCTTACTCCTCCCCACCCGCCCACTACTTGGGTGAGAACATTTTCCATCAGATCCCAGGAAGTCTTCTCACATTCCCTCACCCAATCCGTGGGAACTCTTGTCCTTTCTCTTTCAGAAACCCATGCTTCTGTTGGCAACCCATCCATCTTCATCCCCCAAACTATCAAGAACTGTGAAGAATCTGAGATGTTTGTCCCACCTGCAAGGTAACAGGTTAGCCTGTGTGTTTCATGAATGAGTCGGAGAAAAAGAAACCTAATTATTCACGCATAGCTAGAAGAGTAAGTTGCACTTTTGCTTTGCTTCCCCTTGTCGATCCAATGTCTGAATATTCATTTTATATTTCATTATCTTGTGTATGAACATTTCAAAGTATCCTTTTGAATTTTCCAGATACACAATAATATTATCATCAAATAATGACAGTTCTTCACGCATATATTCCACTTTCAATAGGGAGAAAATTTTCCAGATTTTAATTATAAAAGAGGAAACTCAGATTCTAGTTCTGGGTATAAATTGTTCCTTTCCACTGATTGGTATTTACTGGGTGTGTTCTATGTATCAGAATCCGGGAATCCTCATCCCAAAAAGCAGAGAAAAGGAAAGAAGCCGGGGTTTTGTTCATGCCTCAGGAAAAAAAATGCATTATTCATTTGTAAATTGACATTGATATTTACCGATCAGAAAAGGAAAAAAGTTTGATAGTATTTAGTTTGTAAATAAACATTTGTTCCTTATTTTTGAGGTATAATATATTAAGCGAATTTAGTGTTGAACTGCTTGCTACATTTCATAAAAACATCAATGATGAGAACAGACATGCAAAAGCAATTTACCATTGTCTAAACTGATAAATGCAATTTTATTATACTAGATTAAATAAATATAATATAGTTTAAATCATGTTGTTAAAGAACAAGAGATGTAAAATATGACTACTATATTCATATAATAATACAAATATCTGTGTACAGTTTTACCATTTGAATACATTGACTGGGTAACACTTCTAGATATAAAGCATTAGACAGAATATATCGTGTTTAAAGTGTAGGCTCTGAAATCTGACAGGGTTCAAATCTAGGCTATTTACTGACAAAATGATTGACACTGGGCATGTTGAAATCTCTTGGGAACCGAAGTTGTTCATCTATAAAATGAGAAAAATAATAATGCCTACCTTACAGGGTTCTCATAGGATTAAAGGCGTTACTGAAGACAGAGTGCTTAGAACAGCGCTTGGCAAAGAGTAAACATTCAACAAATGTGAGGACACGTAAGATGAGATGAGACACTGAATTTAAGCAAAGTGAAAGTCTTTGACCTGACCTCATTTCTGCTTTTGTAGAATTGGCCATTGTACAGTGTGCAGTCTCTACAATTCTAAGTTCATTCAGCCTGTTTCTATGGTTAGATGATTCCAAGTTCCAGGTCAGAGACAGGATCAATTGTTAGAAAAGCAAATGGTCATTTGCTTGTTGGCAGGGCAATGATTTGCATTGTTCCAGGAAGGAGGAAGGAACATAAATGTTTTGCTATGAACTGGCCTCTGCCTAATTGATCTGGCATTGTGTAATTTACTAAAACCATATTTGCTTAATTTAGTCCAACATAAACATGGGGAAATGCTTCCTCACCTACTCCCTCTTCCAGTACTCAAACAAAACAAAACAAAACAAAACATTCAACTACTATTGAGCTCTTATAAAGGCCAGGCATTTCTTTTGTGAACTAAAGATTGTTTAAATATGAAAGGACTTATTGGGGATTAGAATATATTTTAGAGTTCATCTAACAGTAATGTCTTTGTTAAAAGCCTTCTAAAGATCTGAACTGCGTGTATTTTCTTTTATTGACCAGTTATATCTTAAAGTATTATAAAATAGTAAAGAGAGGAGCTTCAAAGAAAGAAAGAATAAAAAAGAAATGGAGCCTCTTTTTTTCTGGTACAATCTTTATTATTCAAGATAGCCCACACCAAGAATAATACACCCTTATTTTGATCATGTCCCAGTTGTGAAGAAATAACACAATTACACAAATTAATGCCTTGTAGAGCTGAACTACAGATGGCCCAGCTAAGCAAGTTACTCCGTTTCCATTACCTGTGACTCTACTTTTTCAAAGTTTTATCCTATGACATCGATAAAATTGAGAATATCACATATTATTCCCCTCTACTACCACTCAAATCTTCAAATATATTTGAATCCACCTTCCACAACTCCTTTTTTTATTCTGGTAAGAACATTTAACATGGGATCTACCCTCTTAATACATTTTCAAGTGCACAACACACCACTGTTAATAAGCACAAGATTTTACAACAGACCTCTAGCTCTTATTATCTTGTACAGCTGAAACTCTGTGCCCTTAGAACAGCAATTCCATTTCCCTTCCTCCCAATCAACCCACATTCTACTCTCTCTTTCTGAGAGTTTCAGTATTTTGGATACCTCACGTAAGTGGAATCATGCATATTCATCCTTAGAGTCTTCCTCTTCTATTTAAGGCCAATTGCTCCATTTGCATTGTAGATCCCATTCTTTCCATGTCTTTGAAGTCTTGTGTTATAAATAATTGGCCCAAGGCTGAAACAAGCTAATGTTTAATCAGTTGGTTTTTAGATTATTAGATGGATGAGAATACCCCACTTGATAATGCCTTTGAAACATGTAATTGAACATTAAAAAGTTAGCCCAATATAGATTTTTTCCTATTTCAATACTTAAGACAAATCACATTCACTTCCCTCTGTATTACAATACCTAGGACTGTCAGCTTCAGTCTACTTAACGAATACTATCGGCATTAAAACCAAGGCCGGTGGGGCTGACCAGGAAGAGTTGACCTTGCTTGGGGCCTGTAGAAGTGATGAAGGTCAAGATTCTAAGTAAGCAAAGAGGATTCTTTCGGTGTTATGGAGAACTGGTGCTCTTTCTTTGTAAGGATTTCATTTATGCAGCTTTCGAGTAGCACAAATTTTCTATTTATAACTTTCTTTCATTTTTCAAACCCTAATAAACAATTTAAAATGTCTAAACTTAAGAAACTCTGTAACAAAACCAAATGGTTTAAAAAAATTTGCCCCACTTCAGGCTAGGCACAGTGGCTCACGCCTGTTATCCCAGCACTTGGGGAGGCTGCAGCAGGTGGACCATTTGGGGCCAGGAGTTCAAGACCAGCCTGGTCACTATAGTGAAACCCTGTCTTTATTAAAAAAAAAAAATTAGCTGGGTGTGGTGGCACATGCCTGTAATCACAGCTACTCAGGAGGCTGAGGAATGAGCATCACTTGAACCTGGGAAGCAGAGGTTGCAGTGAGCTGAGATTGCATCACTGCACTTCAGCCTGGGTATCAGAGAGAGAGACCCCGTCTCCAAAATAATAATAGTAGTAAATAAGATAAAATAAAATAAAATTTGCCTCACTTCAGACCTTGTGGACTTCTTCCAATCCTCAATACCAAAGGCTTTCTTACCACAAGATGTTTAACTATGCTGTGATCTATGACTAAGATGTTTTTATTCCTCATTCCCTAGAGAATCCCTAAGGGACATAAGGTGTAAATCAATATTTTGTAACACTGAATCTGAATGGCAGTATAATCCTTTCCCACTGAAACATTCTTTATTTCATGTGGCATCTTTCTTTGTCCCTTTTCTCCTCCATGTTGTATTGCTGATTCAATATTTGTCTTCCCTACTCAAATGTGAACTCAGTGAGGGCAGAGAACAAAAAATTGTGTGTTCTTTTCTAGTATTTTCAGTGCCTAATACTATATAACAGGGGTTACTAACTCCTGGGCCATGGACCCACAATTGTCCGTGGTTTGTTAGGAACTGGGCTGAACAGCAGGAAGTGAGTGGCTGGCAAGCCAGGAAAGCTTCATCTGTATTTCCAGCTACTTCCCATCACCTGCAATACTGCCTGAGTTCCACTTCCTGTCAGATCAGCAGTGGCATTAGATTCTCATAAGAGTGCAAATCCTATTGTGAACTGCACATGTGAGGGATCTAGATTGCACGCTCTGTATGAGAATCTAATGCATGATGATCTGTCACTGTCTCCTATTGCCCCCAGATGGGACAGTCTAGTTGTAACAAGTTCAGGACTCCCACCGATTCTACGTTATGGTGAGTTGTATAATTATTTCATTATATATTGCAATGTAATAATACTGGAAATAAAGTGCACAATAAATTATTTGTGCTTGAAATCATTGAACCACCATGCCTGACCTGAAAACCTATTTTCATCAAAGGAGCTAAAGCAATATAAAAAGTTATATCTGATTTATAGTTATTCATTGAATTACTATCTCTTCAGTTCTAACATAACAACTCATTTACTGAAACATATCTATTAGCTACCATATATGTTAGCAGTCCCCAACTTTCTTGGAATCAGGGATTGTTTTCATGGAAGACAGTTTTTCCGTGGACCTGCATGGGGGTCTGTGGAAAGTTGGTTTTTGGGAATTAAAAAAAGGAAGCAGAGAAACCACTAAAGGAGGCCATGTAGCAAGGTCAAGTAGACAATTGGAAAAATTAGTCTAGAGTGTAGGGGAAAGATGGGACCCAGAGATATGAATTTGTTTTGGGCCTCATTGACAGGTACAATTGACCCTGGAACAACATGGGGGTTAAAAGCATGGATCCCTGCACAGCTGAAAATCCACATATAATTTGACTCCCACTAATCTTAGCTACTCTTTTTGACTGGAAGCTTCTTGTTGACTGGAAGCCTTGCCAAAAACAGAAACAGTCAATTAACACATATTTTGTGTGTTGTATACTGTATTATTTCACTAAGGTAAACCAGAGTGGAAGCGGTCATCGTAAAGGTTTTGTCCTTGTTTTCTTCACATTGAGTAGGCTGAGGAAGAGGAGGAAAAGGAGAGGCATGGTCTTGCTGCCTCAGGAGTGGCAGAGATGGAAGAGAATCCAGTATAAGTGGACTCATGAAGTCCAAACCCATGTTGTTCAGGGTCAACTGTAGTTCAGATCCACATCAAATATTGACCAAGCTTAGCCAGTTAGATTCCCATAGATTACGAAATCAGTACCTACAGTGCTATTTGTCTTAAAGCTACATAGAAGTATTACTTTTAGAATCAGCAGATTCTCTTCAAGTTTCTCTTAAAGATTTTTGATGTGTGATCATAGGGGACTTAAACAAAAAGTCCCAATATAATTTTCCCCTGAGCTTTATGTACTTTCACAAGGCAATTAAATTCAAAACATAAATCCTGTTTGTTTCTCTTATGAAAAAAAAATATTTTTTCAACATTTTCTCTTATGAAACAAATAAGTAGCTTTTGTTAGAGGATACAAGGACTTAAGAGCCCTACTGTCTATAAACCATAGAGGATTATACACTATGCTTTGGTCGTAAGAACTTGTACTGCCTATATTCCTTTTTTTTTTTTTTTAAGCATTGTAATCATACATACTTAAAGGACACAATTAGGCTGTACACAGTGGGCTCACACCTGTAATCCTAGCACACTGGGAGACCAAGATGAGCAGATGACTTGAGCCCAAAAGTTCAAGACCAGCCTGGGCAATATTGTGAAACCCCATCTCTACTAAAAATACAAAAATTAGTTGGGTGTGATGGTGCATGCTTGTAATCCCAGCTACTTGGGAGGCTGAGTCAGGAGAACTGTTTCAACCTAGGAGGTGAAGGTTGCAGTGAACCATGATGGTACCATTGCACTGCAGCCTGGGTGACAGAGTGAGACTTTGTCTTCAAAAAAAAAAAAAGATGGGGAGGGGATACAATTGATGTTTCAATACACACACACACACACACACACGTACACACATATATATCTATATATAGTATAATGATCAGATTGGGGCAGTGTTACCAGTACCTCATTCATTTATCTTTCTTTTTATGGTGAAGACATTCAAAACCCTCTCATGTAACTATTTTGTAATTTACTAAATCTTACTGTAAACTATTGTCACCCTGCTGTGCAATAGAACACCAGAACTCATTCCTTCTTCATTCTTTTCAGATTAAAATTAATTAAAAAATACTTGTAGAGTACTAAGGACTAATCCAAATGCTCAAGGCACAAAAATGTATATGGCATGATCACAGCCCATATTAGCTTAAAATTTAGAGCCACTGTTCTCCCTGTTATTGCAGTCATATAATTTTCTTGCATGATTGCTGCAATTCACATTCTGTAATCAGAGTATAGATCTCGAAATAAAGTGTTGGCTTAATCGTTGTTGTAATCAAATTGAATTACACATTAATGAAACTTACTAGTATTTTCCTTGCATATTTAATTGTATCTCTTCCCAGCCCAAGTCAAAAAAAAAAAAAAAATGAACCCTTGGAAGAATTACATTTAGAAGTTACAAATCCTAGTCTAAATAT